GAGTTAGATTAATAAAAACATAAGCACGGATAAAACGAAATTTTCACTTTTTTAAAAGAATAGAAGGAAGGTTATTATATTTTTAGTACAGTTATTACAAATCCATTATAAATTTTGGATTCGTTTAAATTAAACGTAACTAATTGGTTTCATTTATATGAAATTTAAGTCACTTTTAAATTTTTTCAACTGATGGAAAATTTTATAATTCGTTTTTATTACTGATATAAAACTAGAGACAAATATCAATGAAATAACTCAAGTTAATAAGTTAAAACACAGTTTAAGAATTGATAAATAATAAAATTTTAAACAATTTTACGGATGGTAATAATAATAAAAAAAAAACTCTTTGTGTGCGACCTACTTAAAATATTTCTTCTACTTGAATCCATTACAATGATTATACACCCATATTTTACATATCACATTTAATTGTATGAGTAGTTTGGTTTTAATAAGTAAGCTTAAAAACAATGTATTTTCTACTTTGAGCAGCTAACTTAAAATAATATATTGAATCCATTGTGAGTTCAAATTTACCATAACCATTCTATTAGTACTCAGGTTTTAATAAGGAGGTAACAAAATCAAATATTAAAAATTCTAAAATTATTGATTGAATGCCAATATTTCCCCAAACTATTGAAATTTCAAGTTTTACAATTTTCAAATATATAGCAGTCATGAGCTATTTCATTCTAATAAGCATCAACTAAAACTACTAATGGATTCTGAACTATTCCAAATTTATTGGTGAATTATTTTATTTGTTATTTAAAAGCAAATCATTACGCAGTTTATTTTTGTAATGTAAACAGAAAAATGGATAGCAAAATTAAAAAGAATAATTATTTATACCGAAAAAATATTAAAGTGGAAACATCGTAAAAATTGGTTTTCTAAAACATGTGAATTTTTAAAAAAAAATTGAGGAACAAATTAAGTAGGTTTTTTAATTTGATAGGAAACTAATTAGATTATTTCGATTTTTGAAAAACTGATATGGTTGACCATAAGAATTCAAATTACCTAGATTAATTTCTTACTGAGGCAGTGCTATATAATATGTGTCAAAATGTTCATTTCTGCAAAAAGTTAAGGCTTATGTTTAACTTGCGTTGCGATGGTAAAGTCTAAAAACAAGCGATAAAGAAACATTAATATAAGGTTTAAGCAATGTGATGTCATCGAAGGTCATTTACAGGTACATTTCATACATGGATGAAAATAAGACCATTAACATAATCTAGTAAACGTTTTTATAGTGAAACCATTGGTTTAAATTTAGCTCCTGTTTGAATATTCCGAAACGTTTATGAAATAAAGAAACTAAAATATGAGTTGAAGTTAAAATTTCTGAAAATTTATCTTTTGATGATATTTCCTGAACATTTACTATAGAATGAAAACTTTTTTTTTTTTACTTTGACTTGGAAAAGTGAATAATATGTGATAGTTCTTAAAAATATGATACCCACCCCCATTGTAGTCGAAAGAGATGGTAGACTCAACGAAAATATTAATTAAAACGCCTGTGAAGGTTGTGTAAAGAGTGCTTGTGAGAAAACAGAAGCCTTCTTTTAGCTGTAATACGGATAGATGGTGGTTGAAACAATTTGTTGAATTTCAATCATCATTGAAGGGTATTATTTTTACTTAAACGCAATTGAATACTTGGTTATATTTTATTTATTCTTATTGTCATAAAACTGCACATAAATAAACATGTCCGAAGACAATAACAATTAGAAATTACGCAGCTTATACGCTATTATTGGTACCATTTCATTTTAAGACAACTTTTTAAGACTTCGCAGATTTGTTAATATTATTTTTTTACACTCCGGTGCTTTAAATTTTTACAAATTAACCAGATCTTTCACAATTTACACCGATTACATGTACATCAAATATAATAATAAGAAACTTCATATTAATAGTTTTGTTCTAATCTCAATTTTTAAAATAGCGTAATAGCTTTCCCCTATGAATAATTTTTTATCATACATTAAAAATTAGGAAAGATCTAGCATTTGCGATTTTTAAATATTCGGAATAAAAATAATAAGAATATTAATTATTAAATACGAAATCTCACTTCCTAATTATTATTACAATTTAAATAAAATGTGAAATGCACATAATATTTACTGTATGAAGGTGTAGATAAAATTTAAAGAAATATATCATTTTAACGTATTCCTAAACATTTAACATGAAACTGTTTGTTTTTCTTTACTTTGGTTACAAACAAATATTTTTTAAATGAAAATAAAGAAATCATGAAAAATACTTGTAGCCAAAATTGAGTATTTTATAAATACAATATAAAATAGAATAAAATGCTTTTATGTACTTACCGTTTTCCTCGTTAGATAGAAATAAAAATGTTAAGAAAATATAATTATATAACAATAAATATGGTATATTTTTCTCGTAAAATGTGTATTTCTGAGTCAGGAATGTAAATATACAAGTTAAAACGTCATCAAATTAAAACTAGTTAAAATATTACAATAATTTTAAATATGAAGAAATATTTCTATTTGTACTAAAAACAAACCTAAACTTAATGAGGTTAGACACTATGACAAAAAGTGGACATTAAACGCTTTAGTTAAAAATATGTAAATGTTCAAAAAGAAAAAATTCTGACTAACTATTGCGTATTGAATAAAAACATTAAATAAATAATTATTGTTTTGAAAAAAAAATTCATTTAAAAATGAAGAACATCTTATAATTTAGATTTAAATTAAGTCTAGAAATTTTTTCTTCTTCTTACTTATAAGGTCTAAATAATTAAATATTTTTGTTTAAAAATCAGAAATGAATTTTTTAATCTGATTAATGCAAAGTAAAGCTAAAAATATGATTCTTTTTTATAAGGGCAATAATAATTGAAAATGATTAATGGAAAATTTGGAAAAGCATTATACTAATAATTATTTATAAACCAAAATGCGTAAACATTTTATGTATAAACTGAATAAAATACTAAAAAATTTGTCAAATAAACAGTAAAATTTACTTTAAAAAAAATTATAGTTCATTTTTATTTTTTTTTCATTTTAAACATCTTTTAATTTTAAAATTATTAATGATATTGAAAAAATAGGAAAAATTATGTTTAAATTAACAGTAATATACCAAATTTATATTAGCATCAACAAATAGCTCAAACAGTGTTTTAATGTTGTGAAAAATTTAGTAACCACAGGACTTGACAGTTAACAGTCATTGACAGCGTTAGCATCTGATGACCATTAAGACCTTTCCGAACTACAAACAATTAGTCTAAAAAAATAAGTTAATCAAACGAAAAAAGCAACATGCACAACTTTGTTTTTACCAAAACAGTTTTTATTGTTTCACAACTTTGGTAATTCGAAGACTAGAAATTCATTATCAAAATAAAATTTTGAGTATTTTGTACAGAAGAAAAAATATAATAAAAGCAAAATAATGCACAAATGCCAAAGCAGCATGCAACAAAAAAAGAAGTAAATAATGACATAAATACACATTTACATAAACAATGCATTCGCAAATCATATGAAAAAGCATATGTTACAACATGCAAGATTTTGATTTTTTATAAGCATTCAAATGCATTAAAAACTTAAAACAGTCACAAACAATGATAAAGAAATAAATAATGAATGAAATATAATTAATTAATTATGAAAGATAAAAGCTTGTCGGTACAACACGTCATCACATGTGATTGAAAATTTTGATTTCAAAAGTAACCGAGTATCAATTTAACAATATTAACATAACAATACAATTAAGTTTAAATATGTACAAAGCATGATATTTAAAAATGAATAGCATGATTTCAAAAGTAGGCAAATTCTCTTAAAAATATTTTAAGATATTTAAAAACATAATAAATTGCTGTTAAAATTTAACACATTCATAAAAAATATTTTGATTTAGCTAAAAGATATTTTGATTTTATACACCGGAAAATAGTTTTAAAGTCCAAAACTATTTATAGACTATAACTGCTGTGAAACAGTACAAATGAAAGGTTAACTTTGATTTTCAAAAATCGACAGAATATATAATTTCATAAAATATAAAATTGAAAAATACATTATACTTCAAAAGGAAATCTATTTTTTTAAAAACATAATTATTTTTAAAAAAAATACATTTATTATTTCTTTTAATTTACTCATTACCTGAAATAAATAATAGAAAAAAAGATCATAAAAATAAATTAGCAACAGTAATTTATAGGTGCTAAGATAATTTGCTTGTGCTATTTGTACTAACAACTAAAAATAAAAAAGCCTATTTTTATAATGGCACTAAAAGCTAAAATAATTACATATGCAGAATAATTAACATATACAAAATATTCTAAAAAAATGACTAATTTCAAATTCCTTAACTGGGTTTTGTTTTGTTTAGCATCTTAATCTATTTTATTAAGGGAAACAAACAATACAAAATGTACGTTCTTTTATTATTTGTTTGATTTGCTTACATGATTAGCATCCTCCAGTCTTAAGACTTTAGGATCATAACCACAAATAAAGGTCGATTCGCTAAGCCAATAGCAGAAGTTAGGTTCTAATTTCTGTTTTTCAATCACGTATTTTAAAAAAAGGGATGTTAGCAAAAAACAGCAAAGTGCGGCGGCCACATGGAGAACACCTAAGTTTTATATTTACAATAGAGGCAACAGTTTTCTTAAAACAACGGAAAAAAAGCGACATTCTAACTATTCATTTCGAAGAATTAGTATATCATTATTTACGATTTAACAGTGTACAATACTAATTTGTTTTTACCCGTTCAAGTTTCTGTGCAAGAAGACAAAAATAGTCTTCATATTTTGATTTTTATCAAAAAGCATTGTGGATATGCTTTTTTCCCCACTCAGACAGTTAAATAAACAAAAATTATAAAATCTCCTGTTAAAGAAAGTTTGAAATTTTAAAATGCCAAAATTAAAAAAAAAGGACATTGGTCAGAAGAATTGATGGTCCCACAAACTTCTGAGTGGGCTTAGAAAAACAGTTTAATGGCCATCAGACATCTTAATTAAATTAAATTAAATTAAATTGATAAATCGAAACGCATAACAGGCACATGCTACAATATTAGCCTTAATACAAAAAATAAACACAAATACATGTTATTCTGATATTACATTGTATGTATACTTTAATATACATTAAAAAAAACTGGATTGGAAAAAAAAGTAATGTGTATAACCTTGACGAATTCTCAGTTTCTTTCAACAACTAGAAAATACGTTTGAAATAAAATACTAACATTAACAAAATAAAAAGACTAGGTTAGGTATTGCACAATAGCTGCAATCGTACAAAACATGTGCTTGCTATGTCATTTCAAAATTAAAAAATTCTCAGTCGAGACATAAATTAAAAATAAAATTTTAAAAAAATCTTCCAAGCTGGTTTGTAAAACCTGCTTACAGTTACCTCACAAATAAATAGTTATACATCTACATACATTATGACATCTAAGCTAAGAATAATACAAGATAATATTTTTCTCGTTATTAATAAATAGACTTGAAGCGTACATTTGTATTTAGTGTCTAAAAATCTTTCTCCCTGAATGAATTTGAGAAGAATTTTAAAAAAACTTCTCATGATTTTTTTTTGATTGATTATTGGGACAAGTTTTTTTCTCTCGAACGGGAAACGTTCTAAGAGAAAAACAAACTGAAAAAGTTTCTCATTTTTTTTTGTAAACCTTAACTAACCTGAAATAATCCTCCAGGCTCGGAATAACATTTATTATTTTTTTACCCTCTTTTGAGAGGCAAAGGCCCACTTGTTGCAATAAAAATCACCTTACCAGTACACCGGACCTTTTATTTGTTTTACCTCGTATTGCAATGACCCGTCTGCTTGCAGTTCACAGGCATAACTTGATGACTGAAAATTGCACACCAGTATACTCGTCGACTGAGTTGCATAGGGGACATCATCCATTTGCTCTATGGTAACATTGTACTTTGTTCTCTCTTTATATTATATTTTTAAAAAGACCCTGAGTAAGAAGAAGGACAGTCACCAAAGAGTTACTAGTCCCCAAGGGCTATAGGACCGCTTGACAGAATCAGTCGACGAATATTCGGAAAAAGTCACAAGCAGAGGATATTGTACTTGAGCAAGTCTCTTTCTTCAAGCAACCAAGCTGATTTTCCAAATGGCCGAGTGGAATATCATAGGGCTTTGTCTAGTACTACATTTTGTTTTACTTTTTCGTAAATAAATCTGCATGCTATATAATACCGGAGATCAATCTTGAGTGATATGACTTACAATACATATACACATTGTGAAACAAATTGTCCAATAAATTATCAACCATTTTGATTTTGGGGTGTAATTTGTTTGCGTAATTATTTTTTTTAAATCTATATAATAAGTTCATTAAAATAACAAGGAATAAAACGTAAATGCAACTACCATGGCTTAATATCTTTTTTCAATACATTTTGATTTTCGGCTTTTGGAATGGCTCGCACCACTCATCGCTACCTAAACTTCGTTCTCACAGAAAATATATTACAAGGAAGTTAAGTTACGATGAGTAGCGATCGCAAAGTTGTAACGGTATCTTATTTTTGAATCTTTCCCAGCATCGCCTTCATGCTGGAGTTAGCGTGAACGCAACAGTCATGGGTTGGGACACTTTCTGGCACACAGGAAGGTAGACTAGCGATGGCACAAATGTACCATTCCGGGTGACACCGTCACATTCCGGCTGAGCAAGCAGAAACGGTTGCATAATGAAGGAACCAGCAGTTGGAGGATTTTGGGGCATGGCAAAAGTCATTGGGAGATGGGGGCTATTTGGAGGTGGAGGAGGCATTCCAGGAGGAAAAATATCTGGAATTCCTGTTCTTGGAGAAGGTGAACAGGGGGAAGAAGCTACCGGTGGTTCTGTGACCGAAGATATTTCAGTGGAAGCTGGTTTATCATCGTTGGAGAGACTATCAAATTGTGGCTGTTGCTGCTTTTCTGTTGAATCAAAGAGGTCATTTTGATGTTGCCTGTTGATATGTATTCTCAAAACGTTCCAGACTCTAGTCTGGAAACCACAAAAACGGCATCGAAACGGCTTGACGCTCTTCTGGAGCATCGAGCCGCCTGTTCGCTTGCCTCCGCTGTGGACAGCGTGGATGTGAGCTAGGCACAGCTCCCTGCTACGGAATTTTTTACTGCATTTGCTACAGCGATATCGTTTGATTTTGTTGCCTGTTTGGCCAAGGTTTCCGCCAACACCTTTGTTATGGAGGCTAAACTCACTTCCTTTTTTGTGAAAATGAGAGTTCCAAGGCCTGTTTAAGGGAGACAAATGATGAGATGAGTGGGAAGTCATGATCAGGGGCTGGGCCATGTCTTTCAAATTAAGACCAGCGGCTCGATGGCTCAAGAAGTGACGTTGGAGCGAATGGTTGTATCGATACGCCCTATGGCAGACTCGACAGACGAATTTTTTCTCCCCTTCAGTGTTCACTCCGGTGTGCCTTTTCTCATGTGCGTAAAGATTGGACAGCCATCGAGTGGAGTAAACGCAAAAGGAACAGTGGTAGATTCGACTGCCACCACCACCATGAGGCTTCGGGTGTGGTCTCGAATGGTTGCCGTTTGGTGTTGTCGCGTTCACCGGCGAAGATGTGCCGTTGACTCGTGCCTGTTCTGGGACCATCATCGTTGAGGAGGAGTCTGCCGTTGGCGTTTTTATCCCTGAGTTATTGGCAATAACTCCTATCTCATCTGATGGCGAGTGATGGTCCTTGATCAGGTGAACGTGAAGAGCGACTTTGTCTTGGAACCCTTGACCACAGAGGACACATAAGCAGCTATTGTCTAAAGAGCCATTGTTACTTTCAGGACTACTTGGAAGGGTATTATGGGAAAAGTTTTCTTTAAGTATATTGCCGTGGTCACTTATCATATGAGCTTTCAGCCATTTTATGCTCTTAAATCGGCAATTGCAAACAGGACAAATTTCTGGATAGTGACTGAAATATCGACCACTGGGATCGCTCAAATCTAAGCCTTGTAGTGGTTGCTCTTTTTCAAGGAAGGAAGGATGGTCTCTTAAGTCTTTCCCCTGTGACCCCTCTTCAAAAATACCATGGGTATTTTGTTTGTGAACTTTGAGGAAATACTTGCTGCATAGCTCTTTTTGACAAATGTCGCACTGAACCCCTCCAATGGTGCTGATTCGAGCTGCCTCGTGTGGTTGACTATCCAGGTTAATTCCATGCATTTTAAGCATGTGTGTTTTCATAAAGTATTTGTTACACAATTCCTTGTTGCATATATTACAATAGTTACGTCCAGTTAAGTTACGTGGTTTCTCAAGAGAACACAATGGGTTACTATTTGGATTATGTAAACTTGGAATGTGAGCAGCATGAATTGTCATTTGGGAGATACTTGTTATATTGGCTGAAGATGTTGTCGTACATGAATTACTTAAATTTAAGCTATGGTTGATATTAGGCATCGACGAAACTTTAGGAACCGTTAAGTTGCTGGGTAAATGTCCCACACTGGATGCGTGGATCATAGACGTGGGTGGAATTGTAAGGGGTTGTGTTGAACTAGGCGTAAGTGCGCAACTTACGGCTGAAGAAGGTATTGAAGAAGATAAAGTTAAAGCCGTGGATAAAGCAATGGAGGATGGCAAAGAAGATGAAGAAGAAATAATAGTTGAGGGACTAGAGGTTGGATTTTGCTGAACTCCCACACTAGTAGAAGTAATAACTGGAATATGGGAGTTAATGGGGGAAAACGAATTTGGAATCGTTGGCTGAATCGTAGAACTTACTGCTGTAGTTATACTACTGATATTTGGCGTGGCAGAGTTACTAGGAACAGGGATAAGAGATGTGGACAAAGTGTTATTAACGATTGATTTTATTTGACACACTTCATCTGCCAGAGACTTTTTGGGAGCCGAACTCATGTCCACTGGAAGTCCATGAATGTTCTGCTTATGCGTTTTCAAAAAATATTTGCTGCAAAATTCTTTCTGACAAATTTCACAGTATGCCTCAGAGTCAACAGTAGATGAAGCATTAGGGTAACTTAATCTTTGGAAGTCAGAGGTTGCCTCAGATAATTTTGTTTGAAGGTTAAAATCCGAATTATTGTGTCCCGATACATGACCATCTTCGTTGGGAAGAACACCATGTTCATTCATCATGTGCGCACGAAGGAAATATTTATTATCAAATTCCAATTTGCATAAATTGCACAAAATTTTGCTACTCTCAGAACCAGCTGAAGCGTTGAGTTCTCTGATCATGCTTTGCAGTTTTTGCAAGTCTTGACTAGCTGCATCTTCTTGTAAAGATGTTGGGATGTTATCTGGCATTAATGAATTAGGAGGAAGAGGAATCGGTAAGTGTGGTCTAACAAATTCATTTTCCTTATTTTCCTGGTTGTGTTCACCCGAGGGAGAATTAGGTTTGGATTTGCTTTCCTCTTTTATGTACGGAATGTTGTGAGTGTAAAATTTGTGCATTTTCAACAAATAAAGACTAGAGAAGGGTCTGTTGCAGAAATCACATGACAGTTCTCCAGTCAGCCCTTCAAATGTCAGATTTGATTGAGGATCATGGAGTAATTCTTCTGAAATGCGACTCTCGTCGAAATTCAGTTCGCCTTTTTCATTTGACAGGCTGCCTTGGTTATGACTAGAGGGACCCGAAGGTATTTTTCCTGGAGAGATTTCTGGCATGTTAATTCCATGCTTATTCAATTTGTGGGTTCGTAAAAAATACTTGTTGCAAAATTCCTTGCAACAAATCTCACAAAATGCATCAGCATTGATAACTCCCATTTCTCTTAGTTTCTCTGGAGTAAATACATGAGATACTGAATTCTCACCCGACGATCCGTGGTGGATAGGCGAGTGAAGACTCACAGGCATACTACCAGAAGTAACTGGAGGACACGGATTGGAAGAAGAAGAATTAGATATGATTCCTGCAGAAGAAGTGGTGACAGGAGTTGGTGGCTTATGGTTTTGTTGCAAACTAAAAAGCGAAGGAAATTCCATCTTTGAAATTGAGTTCTCTCTATTTTCATCTGAAAGTTTCTCTGGGAAATTCGTTACAGCTGATAAAGAGAGAGCGCTTGTTGTCATAACAGGAGAATTACTCTTATTTTCGTGCGAAGGTGTCGAACTGGGAGAAATGCTCTGACCTGGTTCAATAATACCATGAATTTTTTGTCTATGCTTCTTCAGAAAATATTTATTGCAGAATTCCTTCTGGCAGATTTCGCAGTAAGATTCTATGTTCATCATTCCAGTTCGTGGTTGCATTGGTTCTGGATTTTGAGTTTGAAGCAAGTGGGGTAAGGGAATGGGGCTGTTTAAACTGGGAGACATATAAGGAGTTCCATAAGGAGAGCTTACAATAGATTCAACAGAATAGATACCATGTTTGTTTGCCTTATGAGTCTTTAAAAAATATTTGTTGCAAAACTCTTTATTGCAAAGCTCACAATAGGCTTCTAAATTAAAAATTCTAACACTCTGTCCGGAATGTGTATTGCCATTAGATACTGGAGGTGTTTGTCCTTGTGGAATGACGGGAAATAGGAATGGTGCCATTGGATTTGGAAACATCGAAAGTGGAACAGGTAAGTTACCCGGTTTCGAATCATCACTTCGAGAAAATGGAATGAAAGGAGGCATTGGAGGAAAAGGAAAATGTGGGTTTTTAAAGTCTCTGTTTTCTTGCATTAAATTTTCTGGAGGACTGTTTCTTGTTTGGTCAATCGGGACAAGTTGCTGAAATCCAATATCATTTAGTTTATGAGAGTTATTTTCTTTGGCTGCATCGCTACTATTTACTTCTTTGTTATTGTTTGAGGTAGCTTTGTTGTAGGATTGCTGCTGGAGTTGTCTTTCCAAGACTTTCTGAACATGCTCTTCCTCCAAATGAACCCGTAACTTGTTTTCATTGTCAAACTCACTGCTGCAATGGTGGCAACGGAATAAACAAGCTTGGATTTCGCTATGCCTTGCATCGGGTCTTGTTTGCAAATCGAGTGCCTCGTCGCTGTGTTCCTCTTCAACAGTATTGCAATCCTCGCTCTCCAGTAAAGGCATCGCCGGTGTTGTCTGATATCTTAAAGGGTTGCTTTGCTTGCGTCGCTTTTTCGTTTTGGACTCTTCCATTATGCTATTTTCGCAACTTGTAGGAGGGCTTCTGTTTTGATTTTCACTACTATTACCATCTTCATCCCCAGAGCACGTCTGGCTCTCGAGGGGAGATGCTCGCTCATTTGACAAGCCATGGTGTATAAGCTCAATGGGCTCCATCAGGTCGGAACTCATTCTCATAACCATCGACTTCTCCATACTCAATCCATACATATCACAACAGCCTTGTTGCATTTTTGCGTTTTTTTTCTGTGAATAGCGTCTTTTTCTATGAGTTCAAGTACGCATCATCCATTGTCCTTGTAACAAGGAAGTGCATTTTTAAACCTGAAATGAAAAGAAAAAAAAAACGAATATCAATATGATTTGAAAATAAAAAGACAAAATGAAATAGACAACAGAAAAATTTAAAACTGTTATTTTATACAAGTCCTGCTCATTATATTACCGATTGACTAAAATTTTAAGTGTTCATTATTACACAAACTACTACAGCGTATTATGAAATAAATAGATAAATTAAAAAAGATACCAGAAAACATTGAAAAGATTTTTCTCCACCTACTATTCAATGGATAAGACAAGAATTTTTTTCCCGTTCATTAAAAGATAAACAGAAAACCTGAAATGGTTTATTATAAGATAAAAAGTAAAATTTTAAAGAACAAAAATAAAATAAAACCATTATTCTCGGGTATTATGTTATATGTAATGTTCGACTGATAAACCGAAATTTTTATTGTTTATTATAAGACCAACTGCAATGATTCATTAAAGATGAATTTATATATATAGTGAACCCCGCTATAGTGAACATGGTTTATAGTGAATTCTCGGATATAGTGAACGAAATGTTCGCTCCCGTGTCTTACTATACACATATAACATTATTTTTTGTGGATATAGTGAACCAAAAGAGGAGAGAAAATTGGAAATTATGAACTTTTTTGTGTCTTCGACTGATTTTTCTTCTTCATTTTTTGGTAACTTTGAAATTTCTACATAAAATACAGATACCGATTTTTAAAACCATCTATTGAAAAGAATGTAGCCATAAGCATTTTCTCTTGCTTGCTTCGTCTGTCTCAGTTTCTCATCCCTAAATTTTTTGTACGCAAGTCGAAGAGTAATAGAAATAAAAGTTAACCCATTTTTCGTTACTACACATCGATTTTTAATTATTTTTGTATTTCTTTTTAATGGTCAATTATTTTAATAATGTGTAATAAAAGGGAGCAGTTCGGAAAAATTAGTTAAAATTGTTTGCATTATGGATACAGAGAACTCCCGGTTATAGTGAACCGAAATTTCGGTCCCCTAGAGGTGTTCACTATAATGGGGTTTGACTGTATATATATATATAGTTAGTTAGTTAGATAGTTAATACTACCACTACTATTTGATTGAAAATCATAATTTAATCCTTAATTACATACATTATCATCTCGGAAATGGCAGTTGTTAACAATATCTTCTTAATGATACATACATTTAGGGAAATAAATTTAATAAGAAACGCAAGCGCAAAAGAAGTCCTTCTAAATTCATACCCTGTGATAGTGCTGCGATTCCTGATACAATAGTTCAGCTCTTTCTTTTCCATTATTTCCCAATAATAAAGTTGAAATGTGTTGATTTTTTTAGATTTAAAAGTTTCATTTTATGAATTATAATGGTTATCAAAATTTAGGAGAGAAAAATTTTGTTAATCTCATAGGGCGATACCAAAGACATTTGGCTTGGGGAATCGAATCCACCGCTAAAAGTTTTTATTGATCTTTAATTTTGAGAAATATAACTGGAAACATGCCCAAATCGCATTTTTAACACAAAATCAAAATAATGAAAATAATTCTTTGCTGCATTCTAAGCTAACTTTCAGAACAAAATAAAAATTAATACTTCAAGTGTCACAATATTTTTTAATATTTGATAGACTCTACTGTTGAACAAAGACAAACGTTTCATTATTTTAGTACTCTAGAAAAAAATTCTATTGAAAATTTATTTTACATTACAACGCAAAATAACTGCATTACATTTTCACTCTTCAAAATTGTGTAAAAGCGAGTTAAAGAGAATAATGTGTTTGATATGTACTTTTTTTTAAAAAAGTATGAAAAGAACATAAACAAGATATCAAAGGAACATAATGTATTCACAGAGGAGAAAAAAATTATAGTACTGTAGGGAAATGACAATTCTGGTTTAAAAAAACCACCTAATTCCGATTAATAAAATCAAATACGATATTTAAGGCATTTATTATTTTTTAGTTCATATGGTAATGATTTATCGGAATTTTTAGTTTTTAAAAGTATAATACTTATTACTAAACATTTAGTGAAATATATAAAACTGAAAACTAAATTCAACAGAATAAAAATTTTGTATGGCATGTTCTAAGTTATCATGATGAAACTATCAAATTTTACCAAATCTACCAAAGTTTATCACATATTATAAAATTATATTTTACTGTTAATTTTCATGAAATCATTACCAATACGATTTCGTAAAAATTACCCAGCTTTTTTGTGTTCCCATAGAGCTAGAAATACGGTAAACGGGTTATATAATATTCTAGTAGTTTTCACCATACTTTTTTTCTGTGAACCATTGATTAGACAGTTCGTGAATATATCTATAAACATAATCCATGAAAATGTTCGATATTACAATCTTTCTTTTAAAACAATTTTTATTTGAATTCATTTAGGGATAAGTTTTTTTTTCTGTTGAAGCTTTTTTTTTAAAGCATTTTGTTTTTGTTTTTGAAAAGGTGACATTTTTTCCCCCAAACTGTTCCTGCTTCCATCTAGTCACTTTGCAATTTTCTATAATTTCCAGTAAAATACACAGAAATCTCTTAACGCATGAAAATCGTAGAATTTTTCACACAAAAAACTCTCCTGAGCAATGACCTACCTCCACAAAATTCTTTTAAGGAATGATTCAAGTCCTTCAAAGTCGAAAATTAATTTTTAAGCCTTTCTTAAACTAGCCATGAAAGCTTCTACAAATTTAAATAGTAACTTTCGTTTAAAAATGAAGTAGAAAAATTATTTAAAACTGTCTGCTATGATTAAAAAAATGGTGTCTTTTAATATAATACAAAAATAATTTACCATCTTTTCTTGAAATAGCGTTTCACGGTTTTCAAAAATTGAAAGGCGAAAGAACTTAATTTAGAACTGTTTGAACAAAATGCAAATATTTAAAAACAAGCTTCGCCTAACTCTGTTTCTTTAAAGGCTGTTTCATTCCATAAAATAACGCTTGTTAGCTAATAATATAATATTGTTGCAATTATTATAACAGATTTAAATTGAAGTTGAATTTTGACCAACTTATCAGGAAATTCCAAGCTAATTGTAAAAATAATCTGAAGAAAAACGATTTTTATTTTGAATAAAAAGCTTTCCGGTTTCAATTTTCTCTGACTTGAAGAAAAAATATTTCTCCAGAGGATTATTTGGGTTCATAAAAATATATTCATCAATTTTTATCCAGGTACAATAATCTTACTAAATATGCAATTCCTTAAGAAAACTGTTGAATAATTTTTAAGTATTTAAGATGCTTAACAGCTTTAAAGTTCAGCCAATTCGTTTCTGCAAGACCTACATTTAATTCTTCCGTGTGGTACTATAAATTGAGCTGTATTACAGATTTTCTATTGTCAACAACAATGAACAATTTCATGATTGATCAAAAAGCATACACATCGGGCAATACGAATTATTTATATGCTTATTTATATAATTATATATTTCCAGAATACTAATATATATATACAATA